TGATAAAAATACATACTATTTAAGTAGCCATTTTTTACAGAATCAACTTTTTGGTACGGGTCAGAAAGAAGCTCATCACAGAGTCGGCATTCTAGCGTGACTGAAAATGATTGAAATTGGACTGCATGATAAACAGTATTGCAGCCCTAACGTTGGTTTGCGAGTGCTTACCGGTCTTTTTCAAATTGCGGAATGTTTCATGCAGCACTCGCCATACTGTAATCCTGACACAGACTCACCAAAACTAACAAATAATCGTAACCGTTACCAATAAATGTAAGGCATGACACTAATCCTAGAGCCTAGAACTCATTCCCAAATCCTAATCTTAATTCTAATCCCATCCGTAACGCTCACTTTAAACCTCACCCGGTAACAGTGAAGTTGGTCACTCACCGTATATACTCCAAGCCCATAGTCCTGTTGTTAATTTTATTTGCATTAGTTTAGTTTATCTTTCGTTTTTTGTTTAGTTTATAAGTTAAAGTTTAGGTTTAGTTTAGTTAGATATCGTCAACGTTAGATAACTATACTTAAATAATTACTATACACTAAATTAAACCGACTAAACTAAGCTAAACTAAACTTAAATTAAACCACAATTAAATTAAACCCAAATTAAACTAATAATAAGGTGGACGACCAACTTAACTGTTACCCGTAACCCTAACTTAAAACCGCAAATTTCAGCCAGTAAAGAAAACAGACCCTGTAATATAACAGCAGCGGAAGTATTTTAAAAATATGGAAAATCGAACATCGAAAAACTACAAAGGAGTTATAAACACCTGTGCAGATAGCCGAACTGTTTCGCGCGTCAGCCGTATTTGGAGAAAGGTGTATGCATGCATGGGCACACTGCTAAACCTACTTTAAGCTCACCCATGCTATTGGAAAAGTAGAATATTCACTGGTCTGCGTCAGCCTCTGTTTTCACATGTTCCTAAATGTTCCCTAAGAAGTAGTCTGTTTATGCATGTCAGTGGGATGACGCTTACTTGTACTCATCAAAAATGTCCTACGATGTCTCTCACGCCCTTTAATTTGCAAGTAATTTATGTAAACCAGCGAATATTAACTGATATGAATAAATGTGACTATATTTGGACCCCCCCCCTAGCCAGAAAGATTTTAAAAAAAGAGTTTTAAGTACATAAAAGTGAAAACGTCATTTTTCAGAAACCGACAAGAAAAAAGTGAACTTTCATACATCCTGTGTACATAAGTTAATGGAACTGTAATGGTCGCTGCCGGCCGACGCTCTCCATTGCTTTGTCCGGCGTCATTGTTCAAGGCACAAATCTGGGACTAAGCACGTATAAGGTGCGCTACCAATGCTACTGAGAATTCAGTCAATCGATCTGTCGCCGGCGTGCATCGCCCTGCGCAGACATCTCCGGGCTGACGTCACTGGGCGTTGATTGGCCCCTGCCACTTATAACTGTCACTTGTTTTTCGTTGACGCTTTTATCTCTGACTCCAGTAAGAGTTCGAATGGTCAGAAGAATAAACCCCTGATTCCGGTGATTCTCGAGTGAATGAAAAAGTTAGCGCTCCCGGTATCTGCATGGATAAGACAGAAGACGCATCGAGCACCGGACCAATTGATTTATTGTCCTCAGATTTCAAACTCTTATAGGAGTCCATGTTCAGAGATTCCGGTGATTGACACGCCTCCTTCTCAACCTATACACTTTTAAGGGTCAG